ATATATCTCCTCACAACTAGATGCAGAAACCAACCCGATACATAAGGAAGACCAGATTGAAGAGGCCCGTGTACTTGGCACGTTATCAGGAGTGTCCCATCCCTGGGAAAGGACCTCATGGGTGCTTGAGGGTCAGTGAGACAGAGGAACAGGCTCCAGGGATGGGTGGACGCAGTGCCGGAAGCAGTGGGCTCCGAGGGAGCCGTGCTGAGGATGGCAGAGACCAGGCAGTGCTTCATTCTACTGTACACGGGCAGTGATGAGCTGGCACGGCGGGGTGGCACCCAACCACCGCCACCACCACACACCTCTCATGTCCCACAAGAGAAATACACTCAGGGAGGCTCAGTGACCTGGCCCAGCTCACACAGCCACCAGAGCCAGTCAGCTCCGTGGATTCTTCCTGGGGACACAAGAATCTCGGGTCCCTTCCTCCTGGCGAAGCTTTTTATGGTGCCTTTTCTTCATCTGACGAGGAGCCTGAGGGCATTTTTTTTTTTTTAACTATTAAAAGGTCATTTCTTGGGGGCTCTTAGAGCTCTTTTAACAACCCAGACATCAGGTGTATCAAGCATATTTGTACCTATGTTGCCCTCATTATTTTCTAAACACTTACTTTCTATTTGAGCCCTTGGTATCAGCTCCTCTTTTTTCCCCTCCCACTCCCTTTCCATCCTTGTGACCCCTTGGTAAATGATAAATTTTATATTTTCATATCTAATTGACCGCTGTCTCCCTTCCCCCATGATTTCTGTTGTTCATCCCTCAGGAGGTATGGGGTGTGGTTATGTGTGGATCATTTCAGAAACTTCCCCCTTCCTCCCCTCCTCTCCCCACCTTCCCCTGCCCTCCTGGTATTGTTACTCCTATATTACTGTTCCCGGGGGCTTTACCTGACCTGGATTCTGTGTGTCGTGAGCTCTTATCTGAACCTGTGTACCTGTTCCAGCCTAGCCTGCAGTGAAAGGCAGGACTGGGGTCATGATAGTGGGGGGTGAGGAAGCCTCAAGGAACCAGAGGAATATTGTGTGTTTCACTGGTGTTCTACTGCGCCCTGGTTGACTCATCCCTTCCCTGTGACCCTTCTGCGAAGGGATGTCCCATTGTCTACAGATGGGTTTTGGATCTCTGCTCTGACCCCCTTTGTTTTCAACAATATGTTTTTGTTTGTTTGTTTTTAGGTCTTCTGATGCCTCTTACCATCGCCCGGCTATCAAAAGCTAGGTCGTCTGGGGTCTTAAAGGCTTGACGTTAAAGC